TGGGTAACCTTGAGAAGAATGGGAATTCCAGGTCATTTCATTGTCCTCATTCGGACATGGCTCAAGGGGCAGTTGTATGATGGAACAAGGTATACTGGTTTAAAATAAAAAAAGATGTGTGTCAGGCTTATAGTCTCTCACCATACTTGTTCAATGTATGTGCCAGCAAATTATCAGAGAAGGTGGGTTATATGAAGAAGAGTGAGGCATCAGGATTGGAGGAAGCCTTATGAACAACCAGATGACAAAACCGTGCGTGCTGAATGTGAGGAGGAATTGAAGCACTTCCTGATAAAGTTCAAGGATGGCAGCTTTCAGTGTGGATTACAATTCAATGTAAGGAAGATCAAAAGCCTAATAACTCCAGCATGATCAATGGGGAAAAGGTTGGAGTTGTCTAGGACATTGTCTTGCTTGGATCCACAATCAATGCAAATGGAACCAGCAGTCAATAGATACAAGGACTTGTTTTATTAAGTAGGCTTGCTGCACAGGACCTCTTCAGAGTATTAAAGAGCAAGGATGTTACTTTGAAGACTAAGGTATGCCTAACCCCAAGCCTGGTATTGTCCATTGCATCATATGCATTTGAAAGTTGGACATTGGATAAGGAAGACTGTAGAAGAATCAATGCACGTGAGTTGTGGTGCTGGAGGAGAATTTTGAAATTGCTGTGCAATGCTAAAAGGGCAGAACAACCTGTATTGGAAGAAATAAGGCCAGAATGCTCCTTAGGGGCAATGATGGCAAGACTTCATCTTACATACTTTGGACATATTGTCAGGAGAGACCAGTCCCTGGAGAAGGACATCAGGCTCAGTAAAGTGGAGGTGTGGTGAAAAAAGGAAGGCCCTGACCAGGGTGGTATGACACAGTGGCTATAACAATGGGCTCAAGCCTAAGGACAATTGTGGAGATTGTTCAGGACCAAGCAGTGTTTAATGCTGTTGTAAATAGAGTAACTGTGATTTGGAACTGACTAGAGATCAACAACAATATATAGAGAGTCTAGGAAACATCAAGATGAGCTGAAGTTACTTCAAGAAACAGAGGGAACTGTATTCTTCCTCTGATGGGATAGCTCTCCTCTACCTTCCTCACCCCTTCTCTTCCCTGCTTTCCTTCTCCATCCCCAGGAAAAGGGACACCTCTTGAAGCAATGTGTAGTTGGTTCTACTTGGTCAGGGCTGGGGAAAGGAAAAGCCGTAGAGGGTTGTATACGTGATAAATTGGGTAGATAAATGAGATTCGGGTGTGACAGCAGACAGCAGTACTAAGACCACAGTCACATCCTCCAAGAAAGTCACCCCAGTGTCTACAGTCAAGTCTATGGACACTGTGACTCTGTTACCTTACACGGCAAAAATGAATTTGTAGGTGAGATTTTATTGAAGATTTTAAAATAGATTGTTTTGGGGTATTCAGG